AGGGTTTAGGGTTTAGGGTTTAGGGCAGGGCTTAGGGTTTGGAACTGAAGGCTCCCCGCCGAAACTTTGTCATAGTTGGGTAACATTTTACATTTTTAAGGGTACTTAAACCCAATAAGGAATATAAATTAAAATTTTGAATACTACCCCAACCATGAACTAGAAAAAACGAGAAGTTCAGGGTTTAGGGCCTAAGGTTTAGGGTTTAGGGTGCCTATATAGTAGAATGTAGGGTTTCATTGTTAGGAATCCTTGCTACGATTTGGGAAAGTATTTCCCGTAACAGTACCTAGGACCCTTTGGGTTCAGGGCTTAGGGGACGAGGGGTTAGGGTGCTACTGTTGATGGTATAAAATGCTGCAGTACCTTAAGGACCCTAAACTATGGGAATTATGGCATATTCCTTATCATGGGTAATGCATGATTTATATCATCGGCCGTATTTCTTGAGCCAACGCACCGAAACCCCATAGTCTAACTACTTAGGTTTCGGGTCCAGGGTTTAGGTTTTGGGGTTTTAAGATTTAGGGCTTAGGGCTTGGGGTTTAGGGTCTAGGGTTCCTATTTGACGAGGTTTTTGGGGGCTCTGCGCCCTCCTTTCATGCTTGTTGCTGTTATCGTTGTTGATTCTGGTTGTTCTGTTGAGTCTATTTCATTTCCATGCTCTTTTCCAGAAATGATGTTACTCGGATTACAATTTTGGTGTTGCAGAGTTGAGGAAATACTTTCGATTTGTCCCCGAAACCCTTAAACCTTTTTTAGGAATTCAGGGTCTTTTAGGGTTTAGGGGTTCAGGATGAAGGGTTCAGGGGTTTGGGGTTCACGGTTTGGGGTCTAGTTTCGGGTTTGGAATTCGGGGATCGGGGTTTAGGGATTGCCAGGTTACTTGCCAGGAAGCTGCTGCCAGTTCCATGTAGCCCAGAAGCCGTCCCCTCGCCTCAAAGCGAATAGCTGAACCCTCCGGCGATGTGTTGCTTGCCAGGAGAGCGCCCTCCTGAAAGAGCGGAAGGAAGTTCAGCATCTTGCAAGCATGTTAGAGTTGTCGGTTTGTTTCGTACAGCTATGTATCCTCAATCCTAAAGCCTAAATCTCGCCTTCGCAGAATGGTTTGAGGAGTGAGGTTTAGGGCTTACTTTTGTGGATCCGAGACTGAGCGATCCGTTCCAGCACCAGCCGAAAAGGCAGGTGTCAGACCGCATGTCTGCTTTAAAGAGCAACACCCACATCCCAAACGCCAGTCTCAGGCCCCCCAAGCAACCCTACTTGGAGGTTCATGGGTAGTTTTAAGTGGGGTTGTAAGGGCCATAATTTGGGTTATAAGTATAGTTACCCTACTTTTAACCCCACTTACAACCACCCATGAACCTCCAAGTACACCAACCGCCTCGAATCCGAACCCCCCATCAAGAAAAGAGCCTGTAAGTATACAAAATGCAAAAACAAGCACTCCCCCCAAGCTTCGTAAACGCCCTACTAGCACCCTGGTTTTGTAGGTGTTTATGTTTCAACATCGCGACATGAATCTGAAAGCTCCGAGAAGCCTCCACTAGCTTATGACAGGACTGCCGCCTTCAAGAACTCTGGGTTCAGGGTGGAAAGTTCTTGAACTCGGACTGATTCTTGGAGTGCAGAGTTCAGGTTACTTAGTTCTTCCGACTTTTCTTGCAGGTGCAGCCCCAATCTGCTTGGCCTACCCCTCCTATGCTGAGGGCTGTGAGTCTTCACGTTGTGGTGGTTGAGCGACGCGCTGGATGCTTGAATGTTGGTGTACAGTGTAAAGGTGGGCAGTTCTTCTGAGCTGGGGTGAGCGCTACACGCGACCGGCTTTACGGCAGGTCCGGTATAAGCAGGCCTGCGCTACGCGACCGCGGACAAACGCCTGCACCCGATCCACCCAGCCAGAATTCCGGGGGGCCCTGTCTCGTTTTCTTTGCCCCGCACTTACGATAAGAGCGCGAGCGCTTGCTCAAGTGATCTCCGTGAGACATCCCTTGAATTGAGAGCAGCTCAGTTACAAGCCTTAAAACCCT